CCCGACCCAGCCATTGCCGCACGTCCCGATCCAGACAGTGCCGCACGTGCCGATCCAGACAGTGCCGCACGTTCCGCTTCAGACACTGCCATACGTCCCGATCCAGACAATGATGCCGTCAGTCGCGATTCAGTCGGCGCACGCTGGTTTGGAAATCGATGGTCGCCGTGCACCGACGCGCAAGTCTGATCTCTGGCGTACGCCGGACAGACGACCCCTCTGCTATCATTGCGGCGAGGCTGGTCACATTTACCGCGAATGTCCATACCGGCAACTTGGCCTGCGTGGATTTTCCGTCAATTCACCTCGTCCCCAAATTGGTCAAAGGCCGAGGGATATCGAAGAGTATCTCGCGCAACAGCGTGCACCCTTTACACGACGGCAATCGCGGTCACCGTCTCCGAGGAGACCCGCAGCCACTGGGTCACGTTTCGGGGTGACGGCATGGGAACGCTCTCCAAGCCCTCGTCGGGAAAACTGAAGGCAGCGGCTTTCGGGGGCAAGGTCGCTGGGACTCAAAGTGCGGAAGACCTCCCATCGACGCTTGCACGCAACACGGAAAGCATTCAATCAGAGAATAATCGCAGTACCGAGGAAACGCCGAAATCCACATCTGAACCCAGTGACCGCGTGTCACTTGACATACCTGTGCTGATTGACGGTTTTCAAGTCAACGCATTGATAGACACTGGTGCAGACTATTCGATTATCAGCGGGAAGCTAGCGAAAGATCTCAGTAAAGTGATTACGCCGTGAAATGAAACGCGAGTTCGAACTGCTGGAGGACACGTTGTAACACCACTGGGTCGCTGTACGGCAAGAGTGAAAATTCGTGCGTCAACGTTTGTGCTCAGCTGCCTCGTTCTGCGCGACTGTTCACGTCAGCTGATTATCGGCATGGACTTTCTTCGGGAATACGGTGCCATCATAAATCTTCGTGAGCGCATTGTGACCTTCTCGACTCAAGGCGCAACAGATCGAGACGCTGATAACTGCCGTAGACCTGCGCTGCGTGTTGCTGACGACAGTGTGACGGTGCCACCTCGAGCGACTGTTCCCATCGAAGTCATTTGTGAAGACCTCCGGGACGGTGACGTGGTGGCTGAAAGCAACCTATCACTTCTGCTACTCCAAGGTGTATGTGCCGCCCGAAGTGTTGTGCGTGTCCGTAATGGACAGTCGCAAATAATACTTACGAACTTCAACTACGAGCACCAGCATCTTTTCCGTGGAACCACCGTAGCCTATGGAGACCCTGTTGCCGACGTCACGGAGTGCTTCGCGTCCGAGGAAACGCATGAGGATGAAGAATTTCTAGACCACATCGACATTAATTCGACGCTGTCAAAAAAAAGAAAGGCTGCACTTCATAACCTTTTAAGGGAGTTTCGGTCTTGCGTCGCCTCTTCTTCCAAAGTCCGTCAAACACACCTCACCAAGCATCGAATTATTACTGACGATGACGTCCGCCCCATCCGGCAGCAGCCTTATCGCGTTTCTTCCAAAGAACGTGCGGCTATTCAGACACAGGTAAAAGATATGCTCGATGACGGGATTATTCAACCATCCAACAGCCCTTGGTCCTCGCCAGTCGTTCTAGTGAAGAAAAAAGACGGAACGCTGCGATTTTGTATTGACTACAGGAAGCTTATTAGCGTTACGAAAAAAGACGTTTACCCGCTTCCACGGGTAGACGACTCTCTCGACAGATTACGACGCGCGAAGTATTTTTCGTCTATTGATCTGAAGAGTGGCTATTGGCAAATCGAAGAGGATGAACGAGACCGAGAAAAAACCGCGTTTGTGACTCCAGACGGACTTTACGAATTCCGTGTTCTTCCCTTCGGCCTCTGTTCTTCCCCAGTTACTTTCCAGAGGATGATGGACACAGTTCTCGCTGGCTTGAAGTGGCAAAGCTGTCTTGTCTACCTCGATGATGTGGTCATCTTTTCCGAGAGCTTCGAAGAACATCTAAAGCGTCTGAGAAAGGTTCTGGACGCCATTCGCACAGCTAAACTCACGCTGAAACCCCAAAAATGCCATTTCGGCTACGAAGAGCTGAAATTTCTGGGACATGTCATTAGTGCAGACGGAGTGCGACCTGATCCAGACAAAACGGCTGCTGTCGCTGCCTTCCCTGTTCCATCAGATAAAAGAGCAGTACGCCGTCTCCTCGGCTTGTGCGCGTATTATCCCCGATTTATCGCCAACTTCTCGAAGATAGCTGAACCTCTTACGCGACTCACCCGAGATGACGTGCCTTTTACTTGGAGCGCAGAAGAAGATGCAGCGTTCACAGAGCTACAGCATAGAATGCAAACAGCCCCTGTTCTTGCCCATTTTGATGAGGACGCTGCTACAGAAATTCATACAGATGCCAGCAACGTTAGACTTGGCGCTGTCCTTACAACGACACGGTGGCGTTGAACATGTAATAGCTTAGGCCAGTCGTACTCTTTCTCGAGCCGAGATCAACTATTCCACATCGGAAAAAGAATGCCTCGCAGTCGTGTGGGCGACGACCAAGTTTCGGCCTTACCTCTACGGTCGTCCCTTCAAAGTGGTGACTGACCACCACTCGCTCTGCTGGCTGGCAAATCTCAGAGATCCATCCGGCCGTCTCGCTCGGTGGAGCTTGCGTTTGCAGGAGTTCGATATTACGATTGTGTACAGGTCAGGGCGCAAACATGAAGATGCCGACGCGCTTTCTCGAGTGCCTGTGGGGCACGCTGTCAGGGGTTCCGAGGATGAAGATGCCTTTCTCGGAGCAGTCAGCGATTCCGAATTTATGTCAAAGCAGCAGCTCAGACAGATCGTCGTTGTCTTTTTTCACACCTGGATCTCAACCAAGCATATCATGTGGCAATATTGTTTCAGCGCGCGAACAATGAAAAAAGGACAGGGTAGACAGAAAGAGCGCTGACTTCCAACTAACATTTATTCACAGAGTGGCAAGAGTATATACGTCTAAAAAGGATGATTACAGAGCATGAAGGTAAAAAGCAAGCCTAATATACACACCAGTAAAAAAGCACGTGTGACGGGTTCTCTATTACCCATCGAGCTACCTCACCGGCCGTTCAAGAAAATCGGCATGAACTTACCGGGACCTTTCTCGACGTCGAATTCCGGGAACATATGGATCGTCGTAGCTACCGACTACCTCACTACGCCAAGACAAGGGCCCTGCCCAAAGGCAGTTCCGCTGAAATAGCAGAGTCCTTCGTTGGTAACATCGTTCTGTGTCATGGAGTTCCACAGGTCATCTTTACTGACAGAGGTACGGCCTTTACGGCAGACCTAGCTCAGGCGATCCTGAGGTACAGACCAGACAAGCCGAGGTACAGGCCAGACGAGCCACCACCAGACCACCGCCTAACAAACACGGGCCAGTGGCCTCACTGAGCGTCTTAATAAGACCATCGCTGATATACTGGCTATGTACCTTGACGTCGAGCACAAGACGTGGAATAAAATCCTTCCGTACGTGACCATCGCGCACAATTGGGCCGTCCAAAAGACGACGCAGATGACACCATACAAGTTGGTCTAAGGAAGAAGCCCTGCAATGACACTCGACACTATGCTTCCAAACGTCGCTGACGAAGAGAACATCGACATCACCGCCTAGCTTCAGCACACTGGAGAAGGTCGTAAACTCACTGGTCTCCGTATTAGGAATCAGTTGGTGGCGGACAGCCATCGTTACAATTCTCAACGAAGCTTCGTCGAGTACCAGCTTGGGGACCATGTCCGGGTATAGCCTCCAACACGCCCAATTGGGCTCAGTAAGAAACTTATGCTACTCAAACGTCGAACAACTCTGCATGGTACTTAGGACTGTGCAGAGTAGTTCGACGTCTTGGCTCACTCAACTACGAGGTTGTTTCTGAGGGCATTACGAACTCACAACGGCGCCGTGCTCTACGAGAAGTCGTCCATGTTGTGCGCCTCAAACCATTTCTTGCGCAAACTTGAAGACTGTATTTTGTTGTTGTTGCTGTGCTTTATTGCTTGTACTTATTGTTTATTTTCTTCATTAATGTATTTAGTCTTTTGTTGAAACATCGGGACGCTGCTTTTTTCTGAGTGGGACAATGCCGCATTCTCTCCTCATGTTTTGTTATCCCCCGGTTTTACTGTCAGTAATTCTCAGCGCAAACCATGCCGACACATTTCGAGAAGCTTTGGGACGGCAGCATATCATTTTGCTCAGATTACGTCCAGTTCATGAACAGTGCAGTTTATTCTGGAACCTTCATTGCTGCTAGCGATAACGCTAGAATATTCGATGGCAAGTGTATAAAGCCCGACACGCCTCGCTGCTTGTGATTTGGTCGACGGCTGACGCTCTGTTCACCGGTATCAGTGCCAGTGTCTTACTTTTGTATTGCTCAGCCACAAGTTCGGCCCGAACAAACAGTTTCTTCTTCGACCTGGAGCCTGCTCCCTTCGTTCACGGCACGACCCCGTGACAATATCAAAGTACCGCCATCCAGCAGACATTCCAAGGACTAAACGAGAGGTGGCTACCTACTACTACTACTACTACTACTGCTACTACTACTACTACTACTACTACTACTACTACTACTACTATTGTGTAGATAAGAAGCAGCGAACACTAGCGCTGACACTGTTGGCGACGCTGATACTGGCACTCATCGAGCGAAAGCCGAGAAAAGACGCCCTTGACAGAATTGCGAACGCGCAATCGAACGCCTACATAAATGGAGTAACCAGTGAACGGTCGCGAGCAATCGATTTTTTGCTAGCAGACGCTGCATGCGTCGAACTTGCGAGGCGAGACAGGGGGAGGGGCCCGACAGTTTTGCGGGTGTCTTCCGGGCCAGCACGAAACGCGAGCACGCGCAGTGGGGGTGTACTGAGGGACAGCGTAACACAGGCTAGTCAAAGAGCTGCTTCGCATATAAAACGGTTCGTTCCAACTTGATCCGCTCTTGTGAAGCGCATATAGGACACAACAGTTGGTGCCTCACCTTCTCTCTGGCCTTGATGTGACAGCGCAAGTCCTTAAGTACGGGAGGCTCGCCCTTCGCGTATGACAGAGAGACACCCTCAAACTTGACCGCACCATGTTCCGGCCACGTGGCTGGTGGTTTCTTGCCAGGCAAAGACTCCAGCTGCGCCTCTGGCTCCACGTTGCTGTATTCAAGAACACGCTCCACCGAGGTCATCTGCACATATTGCAACAAAATGGCAGCGCTAAAAGGCAAATTTAAAGCTTTTTTGCGCAGAAGTAAAAAAAATGGCAATACAGCAGCAACAGGAAACATTCAAGAGAAGTTGAAATGGGAAGTAGACTGGCTTATACGTGTGCTGCTCCAGTGCTCAAAGGTGTAGCATAGAACTCGCTGTGCACTTGCATCACAGCTTACCACAATCGTCAATCGTGGACGTGTTTGATTGTTGTGTGCATGGAGCAGTTCGTGATTGCATGTATGCAATCGAGGACGCTCGAATGAAGGCTTTTTGGTTATGTGTGTTTTCACACAGTAGACAGGTACCACCTTATAGAGTTTTGAACTCATCCAGAAGCACGCATCCTAAGGTTTCGTTCCCACATCCATCACCGCCACAATCACTCCACGCAGTGACCCTTTCACAAGCACGTCGCAGCCGGCCACGATCTTGCCTTCGCCCGGCCTTCCGACTCCCACGACACGGTCTCGCCTCGCACTGCCCAAGATGCACATCCCGAGTTTCTCAGGCGAAGAACGCGACTGACAAAGATTTTGGAAGGAGTTTCAAGCCAGTATCCACAATGACTAGATCCTGAAAATTGACAAGTTTCAATATTCATTGATATACCTGACTGGGGCAGCGAAGGCAGTCAATAAAGGTATTCTCCTGGCCGACGCGAACAATGACATCGCCATTCAGATTCTGTCAGACCGCTTCAATCGTCATGACATGCTTGTCGATGACCATCTCGACAGTTTGCTGTCCGTCCAACCAGTTCGAAGTTCCGCAGACGTGACTCTTAGAAATCTGCAAGATGAAGCCACATTCCGCATCAACGCACTGAAAGGTTTCAGAGTATCTCCACACCACGGTACTGCAGCGTGTTCTTTTAAAGGCTTCACCTTCGGACCTCAGCATCCTTCATCGCCAACGGCAAAAGGGAGCCATGCTAACTGAGAACGCCACAGCATCGCAGGAAGCCCAGTCACAAGTGAAAGACCTCCTGAGCTTCGTGAAAGTAGAAGTAGAGATACGAGAGGAAAACGGTCTCCAGGAACCGATATCGTCTACAAGCCGGACCCCTCCGCAGTGAGACTTGCTGATCCGTCAGCTGCCCTCTCCCTCCGCTGCGGCTTTATCAGTACAACTCCGATCCCCACACTCTAATCCCTGCGTCCTGTGCACCTCTCCAGAACACACTGTTCAGAATCGCTCCGAACGTCTCCATCCGTAAGAGATGTGGAAGAAGCTTCACGCAGAAAAGCCATGCTTTCGCTGCGCCAAACGTAACCTCTTCGCTAATGTTTGCCGCACTGCCAGAACCCTGCAATGGCGCTGATGCACAGGACGACATTTAACTTCGTTGTGGACATTAACAACGCAACAAACTACTCCCAAAGTACCAACAAACCCTCGGCACAAGATGACGCAGCAGGGTCCACCACCACCATTTCTCGGGCCGCAAATTCGCTTTCGACCAGCTTCACGGCCCCTATCGTACCGAGATCGCAGCAGGCCGTGACTTCACTTGTGACCTGCCTCGAAACTCCTCCCGCATCGACGTCGAAGCAAGCAACAACTTCTCCTTCCAGTGGCCTGTCGACACCAACGTCAACCAGAACTCGAACGAGTTTTGAGTGCACGTCGAAAGACCTGCCACTTTCCAGCAATCCACGGCGCTTCAGTGCAAAGACTCGTCCACAAGGTGCGCCATGAAGATCTCAATATCTAAGGCAAACGCTGGGTACACCATGCGCATCGACCTCAAGGACCCAGTTTCCTGTGGTCTGAGCTGCAGCTCACCAACACAATATTTCGTCCCAGACAAAGAGGGCAAGCATGTGTACTTTCGTCACGCAGCACCGTGCGCTTTCAGGACTTGCCCCAGAAGCAACAGTACGTGGAGTCCGACAACTCTCCCTAAACGCTCCTCAAGCCCGATCTTGGCGGTAGGGTCTGTAGTTCGTCTCCTCTCATTTCCAAGCAAGTCAATCATTGACAGTGCGAGCAGCAGTGCTGCTACGAGCCGCGCTCAATCGAGTACGTGCACCCAATGGCCGTATACGATGCTACCACACATTATGAGATGTCGCCTGACACCAGAGACCTGCGCTCTATGTACAAGCCCACATCACACAGCAACAGCAGTAAGCCATGCGCGTCATGCAGGGATCCGGTGCAAACAAGGACTCTCGCTAAGCGAGACACACTGTGATCGCCAAGTCGTCGGGGTACTTCCGCAATGATACTACCAAAAACGCCGCCATCGCTGAGAATCTCGCACCAGTAAAGTAAGCTTGTTGCACGCCGTCATACTGGACACCCACAATGTGTTACCAGCAACAACACACGTGAAAGAACCTCTGCTGCCCTCAAAAGTGGCCGAGATTCTCATCCCTGGTGAGGTCGTCAGGCGAACGAACCAGGATCCATCAGCGTCATCGTTGCCCTCGTCGATCGAGGAAGAAAAGTTCTCGTCGAATTTGGAGTCTTCATTCATATCGGAAGCACCTGCAAGCCAGGCACATGATCAGGAACACATGACACCCGAGGTGGTCAAGCAGCACCTCCAGAGGCTTCACATGAAACGCCAACAACCCAAGGATAATTGATTGATTTGTGGGGTTTATTGTCCCAAAAACTACCATATGATTATGAGAGACGCCGTAGTGGAGGTCTCTAGAAATTTCGACCACCTTGGGTTCTTTAACGTGCACAACAACCCAAGGATAATGCTGCTTACCAGGAAGTCTTCAAAATCTACAAAAGCGGGCTAAAGTCAGTTTTATTCTATTACAAGAAGCGACGCAAGAAACACAAAAGCCACCAACGTGAGTTTTGGCATCTTGTCGACGCTATTAGCAGCGCCAAGCAGAGAAGCAAGCGCACCGGGTCTCGAGACGGGACATTAAAAAAATATTAAGCAGCGCCACCGTGAAGTCATCTAAATACTATAGCTTGAATGGACGGCTTCCCCCGCAAGACAAGCTGCCGCCTACCCAAGTTTCATCGCCGTCGCCAAAGCCATTCATCTCTGTGTAACACCTCCTGGCAGGCTCACTCAAAGCTTTCTTAAAACGAGCGCTGATTTGCCAGCCACGGGAGCGTGTTACAAATAAAAAAAGAAGGGACGGCAGGCACGAGCATGAGCCGTGGGCGCTGGGTCGTTCAGTTGTTCCTTTGACCTTTTTTTTTTAGCCAGGCAATCGGGTCCCAGGTCTCCTACTTCATTTTTCACACTCTCCATGGCGTACTTTGCGGACGAGTCTTTCTAACGAAGCGCCATGTAGGGTGTGGAAAGCAGCAGAATTTTCAGCGTGTTCTCAAAACTCCTTCGACTTGTGGTTGTTGTTAAAGCCGGGAGGCCATCGGAAGCGCAGTCGTCGTTCGCTGTGACGTCGATGTGGGAGGAGTTCTGAGGCTGGCCGAAAACAACGTCGCGGCCGGCGGCGACGTCAAGGCAAGAGGAGTGGGGCAGGTCGCAAGTGAAGTCGAGACCTGCTGCGATGTCGAAGCGAGAGGGCTTGTGAGGGTGGTTGACTGCGAAGTCTCAGCCCGCTGCGACGTCGAAGGGAGAGGAGTCGATAAGCTGGTCAAAGCCGAAGTTGCTCATTCTTCGACGCCGAAGTGAAAGGGGTTGAAAGGTCGATCGAAGACGACGCCACGGCGGGCTGCAATGTGAATGCGAGAGGCTTAGAGTGCAGTGGTAGTGATGGTAGCTGATTTTAGTGGGGTTGGCGGCCACGAATTGGTTGCGCAGTGAGCTCACCCTTGAGGGCAAATGACTTTGTCTTCAAAATTGCTGGCTGCGATCTGGTCGGCTTCTAAGTCCTCAAAGTGAAGGAAAGCCTGGATCTTTCTGTTGAGGTTCATTAGGTGGACATTTTTCGCGATGATACTTGCGAGGAGCTCCTGGCGCCTGAAAGCGGGGGTCGTTGAGTTGGCCAGGCATCGAGTATCGAAATGTCTTTTGTGATGAATGTCCGGTAGAAGCCGCAATGTACTCGGAGTTGGTTCATTGTCAAAGTCAAGGTCTGGATGGCCGGGTGGGTTTTGGCGCCAGAACGAAGTGTGAGAAACGAAGAAGGAGACCCATACCCAATCGTCTGGCTATTTCGAAGGTGACCGGAATGAGTCAGTGAGCCAGCGTCTGTCCTTCGTGCCCGCCACCCCTTCTTCCTCCTTCACTTGTAACAGTAATTACGCTATTTTTAAAAAATTAGGGGGCTCTAGAGCTTTTAGGAGTTCAACGCGACAGCGACAGCCTGTTCCCAGTGCGTACTTCAAACAATTAATGGACGAAATCTTTTCTAATTTGCTATGCACCCACTACGTGGACTTAAATGAATGAGCGCAGTAGCGTCTGTGCCTTTTGAAATGGGATACCGACTTTCAACCGCTGAGCCAATATGATGGTCATGGACGCCATTTTTAGCCGCTGGTGCTTTGTCGTCGTTCGTCGCTGATCTTCGGTCCAGCCCTGTGAGAGGGGGTAGGCCACACTTATCCCTCTGGCTCTTATTTGTTGTAGAGTTTCTATTTTGCTGCTTTTTCAGGAGCCATCAGTGAGGGCCTCTGGTCCCAGCCCGGGCTCGCCCTAGTCGCCCAGCTACCCTGCTGAATCGGTACTATTGGAGCGCTTCCTCCGGAGCAGTGTAAGCAGTTTGCCTGTCGCGCTTGTGCCCCCTGTTGGTGAAGTCATTCGGTTGAGTGAAACGAAGGTGCTTCAAGAAGAACTTCGCAACATAAAGAGAAATTTTCTGGACATCTTGGAGGTGAGGTGCTTCGGCAAGACTGACATACTATGCGAGTCTTCGAATATCTGATGCTGAACTGGTATACTGACTTCTACAATGTGTCCTATAGCGTCGGTGCTTGCGTCGCCGACATCGTTAGCGCCGCGAGGCAATTTCCCTTACTCAGTAATATGTACTGAATAAATAAACATTGTCTTGTTGTCAGCCATGAACGCATCCTGTTGTCTACCACACTC